ATAAGGCCCAGGCTCAGGGGAGATCACCCAGGGGACCCCATCGAGCCATAGGGGCTGCCAAGCCCCCGGGGTTTCCTCCATTCTTCCCAGGGAGCAGTGGGTGGGGAGGACCACTGGTGGCTGGGAATGTGGGCCGAGGATGGGGGGGGGCACCCAAGAACCTGCTCCTTCATGGGTCAGGCCACAGGCTGGGCAGCGGGGCTCCAAGGTCAGCCTGGGGCTGCAGGTGAGTCAGGCCAGGTGTGAAGAAACCGGCTGGGCCACCCCAGGGCAGCTGACCTCCCTGGGTGGGGGAGGGGCTGAGGCGAAAGACCAGATGAGGGGGACTCACTGGACCCTCCCTCCAGCCTCAGCTCCCCTGCTTTTACTAGACTCCCTTTCCAGAGGGCCCCCACTTGTCCCAAAGGGAGATCCAGGTGGGTCTGTCCAAGTCCATTTCCCTTGTCCCAATCAGAGCTGCCTGGGGCGGCTCTTGGAGTGTGTCCCAAGGAGTGGGTGCCAGGCCTGCGATCCTGAGAGGAGGGTGAGGCACCGGGCAGGTGGGTTTCAGCCCCGGTTGGGCAAAGAGCAGGCGGAGGTGAGGGAAGGAGGGGACAGAGTGGGAAGTTTGCCACGCCACGCCCCCCCTGTGCCCCATTCGGAGTTGAGGGGTCACTCACAGTTCTCAGCAGAGGACAGGCAACCAGGGCCACCCTGGGGCTCCTTCCAGTTCCCGCCGCCTACTCAGGTGAGGCGCCTCCTGGGCCGGCTGCCGGGAAAGCTGCGGAGGCCCGGGGCTCTCCTGCCTGTGGCCAGTGCCTGGGCAGTAGGGGTGGGCTCCAGGCCCCACTGCCGGCCTGGGCCTCTCCACCTCAAGGCCCTGGGGCGGGGATGGTGACCACACCCCGAAATCCCGGAGTCAGCAGGTCCCCACTCCTCCCCACTCCGCCCGCGGCCCCAGGGGAGGAGTCTCAGGGGCCCCTCCCCCCAGGCTTCCAGGCTCAAAAAAGCCCCTCCTTTGAGGGGGTGGGGGCAGAGAGCTCCCGCTGCAAAGCCCTCCTCCTTCTCTCCCTCCTGCGGAGGTGCGCCTCTGCCCTCCCCCGGGACAGCTGGGTCTCCTCCTAGCCACCCCCGCCCCCCGGGGCCGCGTGGGAGATGAAGGTTTGGAATTCCTGCGTCCCTCCCTGTGGCCCGTGCCCAGGGATGGGCACATACAGGCCTCTTAGGGAATCCGTGTTCGCTGGCTTGTACTGTCCCCGCCGAGGGGAGGGGAACGGCCAATCCCACAGGCCACCCGGCTGAGACTGAACCTGGCGACCGGCCCGCACGGGGCTGGGGGCCAGGAAGCATGGAAGTGACTTGCTCTCGGCCACCTCCTGCCTGGGGGACCTTCAGACAGCCACTAACCCCTCTCTGAACTCTGCATTCTGGCAAAGGGGGGCACCCATGCCTGCCTTCTGAGCTGTTGCGAGGATGAGCCTTTGGGTGAGAGCCCACAGGACCATTAGCCCCTTTGGGACAGGGTCATGTCTTGTCATGTGTGACACACTTTGTGTCCACAGGGTCCAGCCCTCTGACCAGGATACACCAGGTGTTCATTACGGGCTAGTTGATTGGAGGGTGAATGACAAGACCTGAAAATGCCACCCAATATGGAGGCTTCTCTCTTCTGGGGAGGGTCCCTCTGCCTCTGCCGACGGCCCCACCCCCATGCCACCCTCTCCCCTTGGCCATTGGTGTACCCTCCTCGAGACGACCCTGATGCTCCATCTTTACATCTTTGCCCCTTGCCTCAGAGTCAGCGGGTTGCTCCCCCTCTGCCCTGGGCACCCCCTTGGCCTCTCTCCCCCAATCCTGTCTCACCAACCCCCTCCTCACCATCCTCAGCCTCCCCCTCTTCTGGGTCCTGACCACTCACTTAGATCTGGGGAGCCTTGCCTCTGGCCTCACCTGCCTCTGGCCACACAGTGTCTCTCCCTTCCCTGCCAAGCTTCCGAACTATCTACACGTGGCCTGTGTCCTCACCTTCATCCCTCAGATGTCTGCCTTCTGCCTTCAGTAACCCCTTGACCTGCTCCTGATAAGGTGGCTGGTTGACCTTGCGGTCACCATTTCTGATAAATGTTTAATGGCCTTTATCTGACTTCTCCTTCCTTCTGGACACTTCTCGGTGTCTGGGCCAGCACTCTCCTGCTTTCTGCCTTGCTCCCTATTTCTTCCTCTCCACATGCTCTCCGCTCTCCGAAGCCCCATCTCCAGCACCACAGGCTGAGGGCTGTCTCCTGGGCAGCAGTCTCCCTGGCCCTGTCACCACCGGATGAACAGACCACTGTCTGCGAGGCATGCAACTGGGAGACAGGGACACATCCCGCCTTCTCTCCCACCTTCCTCAGCCCATCAGCCCCCAGATCCCTTGGCATCGGCTTCCCAAATCTCCTGTCATCCCTGCGTGCCTAGGACACCATGAAGGTCCTCTGTTCTTCTCAAAGTCCCAGCCACGGGGGTCTTTTCTGTGCCCCATTACCTTCTGTGCTAAGAATCTTCCAGCAGCTGCAGAATGAAATCCACATCCCTGGTGAGAGCCCATGAGGCTATGCTGGGTCAGGCACCACCCACTCCCCCCACAGCGCCCCAGCAGGGTAGGGTAGGGGCGGGGCTGCAAGGCTCCAGGGGTGCACGTCTCACACCCACACCCATGACGACACTGTGTGTCGTTCTGCCCCAGATGGCCTGTGCCAGGCTGGCCTGAGGCATCTGTCCTCTCTTGCCAGGCCCCTCACCTGGATGGTAGCTCTCCGGGCCTGGGGGGCTGTGCCTCACCAGGAGCTTGGCCAGTGGGAGGCCAGTTCCTGCTTAGTTAATGAGTGAATGAAGGGGAAGGGTAGGAGCGGCCTCTCCTGCCTCCTCCAAGAAGAAACCAGGAAGGCTCAGCTTTCAGGAAATTCCTTCTCCAAATGCTGCCTTGAACAGCTAAGAGCAGAACAAGGTTTCCTTCCCAGGAGAGAACTGACTTCCCACCCCTGGCGTGTGTAGGGGAAGGGGTGTCAGGGAGACCCACAGCTGACACTGGAATAAGGCGGGATCACAGGGAGTGTGAGATTATACCCATCACACAGGGAGGAAACATTAAGTTTTCTTAAGCCTCTCATTAGCGTCCCAAGGTGAATTAGGGCCAGAAGCCGGACCAGGCCGAGCATCTCTACGATACCCAGGTCTCCTGCAGACGCCCCAGTTCCTCCCCGAGCGAGTACTACCCCCGCCATCACTTGTGTCCCCCACCCCCTTAACACCAATGTAACTGCTCGGAAAGACGGAGGGGCAAGCAGGACGAAGAATGTGGGGAGGCCCCGGAATGCGGCCCCGAGAGCCTGCCCAGGAAACGGAGGGACGCCGGGGTGAGGAGCGCTGGCATCCAGCCATTTGTCCCAGAGAAGCCGGCCAACTGGCCAGCAGGGACGCCGGGCACAAGAGCCCCCACTGCCCCGCCCGCGTTCCCTCTGGGCGGAGTCCGGGTCGCGGTCCTCACCCGCCGGGTGCTGTTCCCCGCCATAGCCACAAGAGGGCGGGCTCCTCCTTGCAGAAACCAGAGCGAAGGTGGCGCAGACAGGGGGTACCCAATGGGACCCAGCCAGCCTTGGTAGAGCGCCTACTACGTGCCAAGTACTTCCATGCCTCACCTCGTTGAAGGCTCACAACACTAATCCTTTACACAGGAGGACACCTGGCTGGGGGAATTAAGTGACCCCTCAGCAGCTGGCAGGTGATCCAGCAGCGTCAAATTCGAGTCTTTCTAGCTTCAAATCCTGAGCTCTTTGCACGGTAACCAGTATACACGGTGGGAAGACCCAGAAGGTCACACACTGGGTCGGTGCCTCCTTCCGCTGGGCATCCCAGACTCAGTCCTGGCATGTGCCAGGCATCAATGTTTACATCAAGTACATTACATCAAGTACAAAGAAAGAAATCAGAGACTCGCAAGGTTTAGGGGTCATCCATCCACGCTTTCCACCCCTCTTTGGGCCAAAGGACAAATTGAAACCCTGAGAGAGGAAGTGAATTGCACATAATCACTCAGCTGGTGGCAGTTGTCATAAGGGAGTCTGTACATCCTCCCTCCAGGGCTCCCCCTGCCCCCTCCCCCGCCCCAGGTTCCTAAAGTTCAAGATGTCAGGTGTCAGGGCCATGCGAAGGATCCTGAGGATGTACAAGTGTTTTTTAAAACATACTCTATTGCAGTGCCTAGGTGGCTCAGTGGGTTAAGCCACTGCCTTCAACTCAGGTCATGATCTCAGGGTCCTGGGATCGAGCCCCACATCGAGCCCCACATCGGGCTCTCTGCTCAACGGGGAGCCTGCGTCCCCCCCACCCCTCTCAGCCGGCCTCTGTCTGTCAAATAAATAAACAAAATCTTTTTTTTTTAAAAAGTGCTCTATTTTCAATTTCCCAAATTAACACAACTGGATTCTGAAACAACAACAAAATCCTCACTATAACTGGACCTATTCCGGAAACAAACAAATAAAAAAAAATTAAGGGGAACTGAAATGTTGGGAGAAGCCTAAAAGGGAAGCAGACCCCTGACTTTCACATCCATTATCTCATCTGACCCCCCAGCTTCTTGACGGCTCCATACCCCGAAGAGTTTCGGAATGGTGCGGCTGTTAGGTCATGTGGTGCACGCACCTGCCAGGAAGCTTGGGCCAGCACACCGTAATCAATATCATCTGCATTTGTGCAGGAAAACCACAGGTAATCAATAAGTGCCACGGGTGGCCTCACATGGCTCAAGTCAAATTCTGCCACCGAGTTAGGGAAAACATCTGGGCTCTGGGGGGCTTTGCCATTCTGGAATTGCCGATAAGTGATGGGGAGCCTGCACCCCTGTCGGTTGAGGAAAGTGAGGCTCGGGGTGAAGGAGCACGTCCAGGGCCAGCGGACACTGCTGCTCAGCGTTGAGCCGGACGCTAAGCCGAGAGGGTCTCCAGCCCTCGCCCGCCTCCCCGCTCCCCGGCTCCGCGTACCTGCGGCGGGCGCTCCTCCCGCGGCGGGCCGCGCACGTCCTGGATGGCCTCGTAGACATTCTCCGAGTCGCTGCGCGCCAGGGGCCGCGGGCACACCCAGGAGCCTGCCACGCTACAGGCCTTGAAGCTGCCCGCGCTCCCGAGGAGACCCGCAGGGGGCGCGACGGCGGCGCGCGCCAGGTCGTCCAGGGACTGCGCGGGCCTCACGGGCGCCGCGGGCCTCGTGTACAGGCAGGTGGGCAGGCCCGGCGCCGGGCTGCTGCGGGGGGTCGCCGCACCGCGCCGCGCGGGGCCGCACAGGGAGCTCACGCGGCCCCGGGGCTTGGTGGTCGTGCCGTCCGGGCCCGCGGGCGCCGGCGCGCTCACGAAGCGGTAGTCGTAGGCCAGCGGTTCGGGGGCTGCGGGGCCCGGGCGGAGCGCGGGCGGAGGCGAGGCGGTGGCGGGGTCCCCGAGCGCCGGCAGCTCGCGCACGTACTGTGCGGGCAGGTAGAAGGGGCGGCCTCCGGGCTCGCGCCGGACGTGCCACCAGTGCTCCGTGCTGCGGCGCAGCAGCCGGTAGCGCTCGTTGGGCTGGATGGCCACGCGGCGCCCATCCTTGCCCGTGTACTCGAAGGGATGCTCCACCAGCACGTACACGTCCCCCTCGACGTCTGCCGCCATCGCGGCTGTGCCGTTTCCCTGTGGGCGACAAGGAAGAAGGGCTCGGAGGTCAGGGTCACCGAACCGGGAGGAGCGCCGCTCTAGAGGAGGTGCGGGGACAAAAGACTTGGGTTCGAGTCCCTAGGCTGCCTTCCTTGTGTGCGTTAGGGTCTCAATATTCCTATGTCAAAAGCGGGGGACTTGGGTAAAATAATCTCTAAAGGGCGCCTGGGTGGCTCATTTGGTTAAGCAGCTGCCTTTGGCTCAGGTCACGATCCCAGGGTCCTGGAATCGAGCCCCGCATCGGGCTCCCTGCTCCGCAGAGAGTCTGCTTCTCCCTCCCTCTCTGCCTGCTGCTCTGCCTACTTGTGTTCTCTCTCCCTCTCTCTAATAAATAAATAAATAAAATCTTTGGGAAAAAAAATCTCAAAAAAACCCAAACACGTTAAAACGTTCCAATTCTTACACTCGCGGATGGAATTATGACAACACTTTCATTCTGCGTTATTGGTTATGATTTGAGCCTCGATTCAATCCCTTGGTGGGGAGATTGTGGATAATACTAGTCCAACTTGACAGCCAAGGAAGCCTTGACTCAAAGAGATGGGGTGATTGCTGGCCATAGGCCACATTTGCTTACAAAGTTGACTGGGCCTCAGTTTCTCGGCCTGTGAAGTGCAAGACACAGCCCATTTCCTTTGCCCCCTGCCCTGCCCCTCCCAGACGCCACAAGCCCTCAGGAAATCCGGGTCTCCAGAGCCTCTTCCCTCCAGGCTTCTGCACCCCGGGGGCCGGCGGGGTCAGAGCTGAGGCGCGGGGCTCTGGGAGCCTTCCCGGAGCCGCTCTACCCGGGGAGTGTCTCTGCTTCCCCTAGTCCGAGGGCCTTGGCATAAGGGACCGGGACTGCCAAGGCCGGGGAACCGGTTCTCTCGGTTTCTCCTTCCTTACCCAGCGGCTTTGCCTCGGACATGAACCCGGAGCCTGGCCCGCCCAGACTGGCCGCACAGCCCCTGTGTTCTCCAGCTCCCACCTCCACCTCGCGAGAGAGGGAGGCTCTGCCCCCCTCCCCGGGCCTGCCCACCTGCCCTGTGATCTCCGCATTGCCCCACGAGAGTGGCCCCTAGAGAATGCACTTTGTGACAATGACTACCCACGCGGTGTCCTCCCCCGAGCTCTCCTGGAGTGATGGTGGCACCCCGACCCTCCGCGTGCCAGTTTCGCCTGGCTCTTAGTGCTGCGGGCTTGGGGGTCAGAGCCTAACTGTAAACCTGCCTGTATCTCCCCATCAAAGAGATGAATCAGAGGCTCCTTCCCTAAGGGGCTGGTCGCTCCAAGCCTTTGCACTGACCCCATCTCCTGCCCAATAGAGGTGTCCCGGGAGCAGCTGGGAGTCGGTTGCTTGCTGAGGGTGAGGAACCCAAAGAACGGGGTCTGGCGGGAGGCTCACTGCGCTCCTTCACTACTTTCCTAAGCTTTCCTCGAGGGGGAAAGGGGTGCACACTGGGCCCTGGAGGCGTGGTGCGTGAGCTGCCCGGAGCTAGGTCAACAGACCCCCTGGGAGGATACCCCTTGGTCACCTTCCCCTGGGCCCCTGCGGCTCACTCACGTTGGCGGGTCAGGTCTCTGTGGGCCCATGGGCTGGACGGGCGGAGCCGGCGGATGGATGCAGGTTAGGCCCCTGCCATCTCCTCGGGCGGGGCTTCCAAGGGCTAGGCCGGGGGAGACCTCGGGGAGCAGGAGCTGGCAAGGGGAGCAAAGAGGGAGAGGGATGCTCAGGAGGGCTGCCCCCCATCTCCAACGCGGCTGTATCTGGGAGGGGCGAGTGGGAGCCTGAGTGAGTGTGTCTGGGCCGGTGGAAGCAGGGCCCAGAGCAAGTGAAGGCAGAAGGGAGGGGCGGCAGCTGGAAGGGCTGCGACTGAAGGGGCGCTGCCGGGTGGCGAGCGGAGCCCAAGATGGGTAGGGTCCCACCCCTGCGGCCCCTCCCGCCTCCTTCCCACCCCCGCCGCGGAATTTGCTGTCCTCGAGCCTCTGCGTCCCGCGGGCGCGCTGCTCTGGGACTGCCCGACCCCGGTCGTTGTCTCTCCCTGGTTCCCATACCTAGCGAAGCCATTTGCACCCTGAATCACCCACCACCAGCCCTCTCCAGGCGCTGCTCGCTTCGGACCCACCTCCGCCCTCCCCAGGCCCTTTCCGGGCGCAGCTTGGCGGGGCCTGGAAAAACTCGGAGCGGAGTTCCCACCGCAGGGATGCCAACCCAAGCGCAGAGTCCCGGGCTGGGTGGGGAGGGGACCTGGGACACGGCTCCTTCCCCAACTCGGGGGGAGCGTAGAGAAGCGGAGGAATAAGGGGAGCGGGAAGATCCCTGGAACTCGGGGGCCGGCCGGTCTCCAGGAGGTGCTTTGGGTTCACTGCCCGGGCGACGCGAACCACAGCGCCGTCAACGCCTCGGTCGGAGCCGGTGGCCTGCACCTGGGCCCCTCCCGTCCCCGGACGGACCGCAGCCTTTCGCATCTGTGCTGCTCGCTGGGGATCCGACCCGCGCGGCCCTGCTCCCGGGTGCGCGCAGCTCCCACCCCAGCGCCGGGTGAAGGGGAGCAGGCGCGCGGCGTTCCTGGGGGAGAGGACCCGCCACCTGCGGCACCGCCCCCCCCGACCCCCGCCCCCACCAACTCCCGGCCCGGCCCGGCCTCGGCACCTCGGGGTGTCCGCTCACTGGCTTCGCCTCCACTTGTCCCGGCAGGAGCGCGTGGTTTCGGCGTCCGCCGCTCCCTCCTCCACCGCCCAGCTCCCGCGCAGCCCGGTTTCCTGTTCAACAATACAGCGAGGGAGGCACCAGCGGAGAGCGCCCGGCAGAACTTCCTCCCGGGCTGAGGCAGGGCTGCGGCTGCTAGAGACAATCCCCGGTGTCCTGGCTTCCTGTCCCCTCTGGGCCGGGCCAGCGCCCTGAGAGTCAGACACCGCCCTCCCCCCTGCACCTCCTGGGATCATGGGCCACACCTGGCTGTCTCCTGGGAGGTGGAAGCAGTAGGGCCGGGATGATGGCATGTGGGGTGGGGGTGGGGGAGTTTCCTCGACTACTTCTGGCCAGATTTCCCTCCCACTGTGCGATTCCATCCCCCAGCTGCCCGGATCGTCCTTTGGAAGAGGGCCACCCTGCAGGCTGTCCGCAGGGTAAGCCCAGAGCAGCCTGCCCTTAGCACTTGCATTTTCTCTCCTGTAGACAGGACAGGGGCGCCTCCTTCGCAGGACGGTTGGTAAGACTGGATGAGAAGGAGTTGCACCAAGCACAGTGTAGTATTATCACATTATTATTGTAAGAACACACATTCATTAATATTTTTATTATGAGTGCCCTCCTCTTCGGTGTTGGGTTGAGGTCTCCAAACTCTACATTTTCCTTTAGGCAGAAGCGGGGAAGGGAGAAAGGAATGTCCAGAGAGGCATCTTGCTGAGGATGGAGAAAAAAGGCAGGGAGCACCCAGGTCACGGGGCCCTGTCCCCAGGCCTCAAACCCAGGTCCTTCGGTCTTCTCAGAGCCCACCCCCTACTGACCCTGGAGGGACTTGAGGCCCCTGAGGGAAGCTGGTGCTCAGGGGATGCGCAGAAGGGGCCCCTCCCCCCTCCCAGGGGCTGAAAGTCCTCTTCAGGGACAAGGAACTGCAAAGCCTAATATTTCAATCCCACTTTCCTGTGAGCTGCTTCAGGGAACGAGTCTGTTTCCCTCCTCTGTCCTTGCCCCGGGCAGTGGTGGCCTTTTCCTCCTGGAACTTCAGGGCAGGGGAGCAGGCAACTAAAGGCCACATGGAGCCCTGAAACCATGCACCCTGATTCCGGCCCTGCTCAAAGAGCCTTTTCTCCCTGAGCCCCCTCACTTGCTTTGGAAAACCCAGCAGAGGAACAGTCGCGACATCTCTCATGTTCCGGGGCCAGGGGTCTGTGCTTTGACAGGCACAGGGAGGAAGTCCCTGTGGTGGGATCTCAGGGATCAGCTTCAGTTGTTACATATGAGTGTGTGTGAGGAAACCTCCGCACCACGGGCCTGAAATGCTATCCCTCCAAAGCCCCTTCATCTGACTCCTAGTTGGGAAGGGACAGACCGAACACTGTCGCCTCTCCTCCCTGGCATGCCCATGCCTGGTGCGCAAACCCCCTGCTTGCAGAGGTCTACCCCAGCCACCCCTCTCCAGGCCTTCCATGCTATCAGGCGCAGAGTGGGGCCCCATCCGAGGACGACAGGATGGCTGGTGGCCTCCCCCAACCAGTGGCAGCGTCAGGATTCAGAAGCGAGACCAGAGGTGAGAAAAATCAGGTTTACTGCAAAATCATTCAAAAATCACACCGCAGCAGTTCCTTCCACACATTGCAAAGCACTGTTCAGGGCCAGTGCCCCTCACTAGAAACAGTTTATTGCATAAAATGGCATTTTAAAAATAGTGTGGGCACCACTGAGGTTCACGTCAGCTTTCCACTGAGGGTGAGAGGGTAAAAGCCAACTCATCTGGAAGCATCAGCAGCTTTTACTGGGCAGGGGGTCCGTTCTAATGCTACTAGTCCCTGGGAGGCGGCTGTGGACAGGAGGTAGCCTGTCCACCCAACCCAAGTGAGCCCTCCAGGGTGGCCCTCGGCTGCACCGTCCATCCCCAGCCAGCCTCTGTCCACCTGGGGACTGGGGCACCTGCGGCTCTTCTCGGGCTGGGTTTGTGGGGGAGCATTAATGCTGGCTGTGGGGGTGCGGGACAGAGATAAGGACCCACTTTCCCATTTAGAAGGCTTTGGTGTGCTGGGCATAGGCGTGCACCATCTTCCGTGACGGGGACAGAGAAGCCGTGTGGCAGCCCTCCCCTCCTGCCCACCACCTCCTCTGTTCTCTTGCACAAGTTACCCCGCTCCACAGGGCTGGGCGGGTGACTCAGCAGCTGAATAACCCCAAGGGAGAGGTGGGAATAGATTCATCTCTTAACAGTGACGGGCAGTCTCCACCGGGGGCCCCCATCCAAGCTGAGAGCAGAAAGGATGGCCAGAGGACCCCGGTGGGAGGTGGGGGGCTGTGGGTCCAGAAGAGATAGGAGAAGGCAGCAGAGAAATCTCCCCGAACTACAGGGTTTCAATGTCATTTTGAAAACAATTCCAGGCTCCCACTCTACCCCAAGACCCCTTGAAAAGGCAATCACCCTCCAGTGACCTCTTCCAGTACTGGCAGCGCCCCTCCTGGGCCAGTCCAGCAAGGCTTTGGGAAGCCATGGCTTTGTAAACTGAGGCTGGGCATCCTTCCACAACGTGGCCGCTCCCATGTGTCCCCGTCCATCTCTGCAGCAGGCCTGGCACTCTTCGCGGAAGGACAGGGTGGAGGGTCACCACTCCACAGTGCGGAGCCTGGCAGTCATGATGCCCAAGGCTGGCCCTGGCCCAGGGTCACTGCCCTCTCTGGGGGAGGGGTGTCCCCTTGACAGCATGTCTCCAGCAGCCATCGGGCTGGATGTCTGCGGTAGGCAAGGAGGGCAAGGGGCTGAGGGGGAGGGAAGATGACCCTGGTCTGGACCAAGGAAGGCGCAAAGTGCTGACAGTGCTGGTTCCGAGTCACTCCCTCCTCCCGCCGGGACCGAAATCCCAGGCTTAGGGGAGCCAGGGGGCTCTGACCCGGAAAAAGGTGACGGGGTTTTCAGGGGAGGAGGACAGGGCAGGGTGAAGAGAGACGAGGCAGAGGAAGAAGGCGGTCACCAGGACCAATCCCGCCAGCTCCCGGGCAGTTTGGCACATACTTGAGCTATGGGCAGCGAGGGCCCGGTGTGTGCGAGGGAAAGGCGCCCAGTCTGGCTGACAGGCTCAGGCCCCCTGGTGGCCTCCCCGCCACCCACCTGCCTGTGGGCCAAATGTTCCCACATGTTTGCTCCACGTGAGAATGCCTGGATTTCTTGGGTGACTTGGGTAGGGTCAAGAATAAAAAAATATTTTCTGTTGAAATATGAAGGGAAAAAAAAAACCTGTCTTAAAAAACTAGACCTTTTAATCAGGAATGTGGAATCGAGAATGTGCCCAAGTCTCATGTCCACAGTGTTTGAACAGCCCTCATGGAGGTGTCACGTCTGTGAGGCGAGCTGGGGGCCAGATTAGTGCAAAGCTCCCTTTCCCGCTTCCCCTGGACGAGGGGGCATCTGATGGTGTCCCCACCTCCTGGAGCAGATGGACGGGAGAGGGGCTGGGGGACATCATCGAGGGCCTCATCGGGTAGGCTCGTGCTCTGGTCACATCTGAGTCTTCCTGACAGGGGAGACAGCTGTGACACCTTGAGGGGATCCAGGCTGATGCCAAACCCAGCTGGGAGGGCCGAGCTGAGCGGGGTGTCCCTGCCCGGTGGTCCTGGGTGGGGACAGCACGCTGGCTTAGGTGAGTGCGCTCTGTTCCTGGTACTTGCGCCTGCGGGCACAGCGGGGGCAGCCCTTCCTCACCACGGCCTCGCAGCTCTGGTGGAAGACGGTCTTGCACTCGCCGCACCTGGGGGACAGCAGCCAGCGTTCTGACCGGAGCCCGCGGGGAGGCCCAGCGCCACCCACAACCCAAGGCCCGTGTGCTGCCTCCCCACCTCTGAACAAAACCTTGGGGCACCGACCCTGCGCCACGCCACAGTCACGCTCCCTTCTGCCGCACTTCCTACCGATGCTGCTGGGGACTCGTGACATGATCCTTGCCTATGCTGAGAACACCCTGCCGTCTGAAAAACGGAGCCCAGGGGCTGAATCTAGGCCATGAGACACCTACTGCAAACGAATGAATGCTCCCGCCTGCTCAGTTTTCCACTCCCACCTGGGCTGGAGGTTTGGCGGCTGAATTTTTCCATTTAGCGGCTCCTGATGAGTGCTAACCAGGTAAGAACCACCATCACTGCAGGAGGGAACCAGGTGGGGGGCCCCTACTGGGTGCCCACTTTGTGTGGCCTGTGCCCACCCTCTGGGGCAGCGGCTCATTCAGTCCCTTCTCAACCCATTTGTAGATGACAAAACTGAGGCCCCCACTCAAAGACTCAGCAAGATACCTCTTCTCGAGAGAGACAGATAGCTTCCTTGGTCTAGGGAGGGGTCCTCGGAGGGCTCTCTTGTCCCCCAAGCTGGCCCAAAGCTGGCCGTGACTGGCCTGGGCATCGTCTGCTCTAGACGACCTCCCCAGCCCGCGGCTCTGTGTTCTGGGTTCCTGCCCTCCTGGAATGCCAGGGCCGGCTGTGGGCAGGGGTGGGCAGCCGGCCGAGGGTCCCGCGTACCTGACAGTGGTGTCGAACTCGAAAGGGAAGATGATGTCGTGGTGGTGGCAGATCTGGCAGATGAAGCCGCGCTGGGTGCACAGGTCGCAGTGGTAGACATGCTGGGAGGCGAACCCGATGAGGGCATTGAGGAAGCCTGTGTACACCCCATCTGCGATCTGTGGAGGGTAAGTGCAGGCCGCCAGGCCTTTCAGGCAGCTGTGCTGAGTGAGGCCAAGGCCGTCTGGAAAACGCGGCCTGTGGCTGCTTCTGACACTCTACCTGAAAGACTCCTACCCCCAAAGAAGTCTCTCCCCGCTTGGGCAAGAAAGGCTCCCTGGATCAGGCCAAACGAGGAGGCTGTCCAGCTCCCGGACGCAGAGGTCACCGGGGATAACCGTGTTGGCAGACGAGACCCAAATCCACAGTGCCCTCCCTCGAGGAAAGGAATGTTCCCGGCTCTCACCCCTGGGACCTGCCCTCCCACTGGGGATGAGCCCCGCAGCAGGGAAGGGGCTGAGGAGCTCGTGTGGCCCGGGTTCCACCGGCCACCTGCTCATCGCAGGGGCTGGCACCCGGTCACTGCCTGGGAAGCACGTGACAGTGAGACATGCAGACTGAGGGCCTGAGAAGCTGCAGCCCCCCTCTTGCATCCCCATTTCTGATTTCTCCAGGAATGAGGTCCCTCTACAGAAGTGTGGGGGTCAAGGAGGCATTCTCACCTGCTGGAGGTCAGCAACACTGTACTTGTGGGGCGACTCCAAGAGGTAATTCCTGTGGTTGAGCCTTCAAACAAAACATAAGGGGCTCCTTAGAAGGTTTTCCACGATCCGGGCCAACCTCTGTTTGCTTTCATTCCTTCAGCTGCTACCTGCGTATAAGCGCCTGGTGGGGCGGTCCCTAAGAGCCAGCTGAGCCGCCTGGGGTGGGGACCTGGTCTTCCAGGTGACCTGGGGCAAATGACTCAGCCTCTCTGCACCTCAAGCTTCCTCACCTTAGAAATGGAGCTGTTCTGAGGATTAAATAATTTATCTAAAGCATTTGGCACAGCGCCCAGCACACGGTAAACAACGAACAATTACCACCTGTAGCTGACAACACTGTACTGTGCACTTGAAATTTGCTGAGAAGGTAGAGCTCAAATGCTCTCATCCAAAGTCTCTATGTAAGAAGTGAGGGATGGATGTGATGTGTGAATGAAGCAGAGGGAAGAGCCTTTTCATGGTGTACAAACGTGCATCAACTCATCATGCTGTCCACTGTAAATTCCTCGCAATTTGGTGAGTTATACCTCAACAAAGCTGAAAAAAATTGCAAAAAAATTTCAGGTATAAAAAATAAAGCATCTATAAAAAAATTAACCAACAAGGAGGACGATGACCAAAGCTAACATCTGTACCAGGAACTGGGCTCAGAGCTTTAGCCACTGACTCATTCTGCCACCCCTTAAGGTCGGTACACTTATAATCCCCACTTTGAGAAGAAGAGGGAACAGAGGCCCAGAGAGGTTAAACAGCTTGCCTGCAGTCACACAGCTAGGGAGTGGCAGAGCGGAGTCTGAACACAGGAGTCTGGCTCTGGAGCCTGCACCCTTACCCACCCAGTGAATGCCCAGAAGTGTTAGCTGTTGTCATTACTGCCACCATCACATACCAAGGACAGCGCTTGGGGACAGAAATACATAGCATGTGGCCTCTGCTCTCCTGTCGCCCCTGGGCTAGCTGAGGGACAGTCAAGCATCCGGTTTCGGTGCTATGTGAGAGGCACAGAGATGGCCTAAGTTTGGCACATCCCATTTCACTGAGGGGTGGGGCATGGGGGAGACAGAGGCCAAGGGCGACTCTACTCTCCACCTCGGCAAGGGCAGACATTCAACGGGTTCTGTCCTGAGGGATGGAGAGGAAACACCTGCAGAAATCCCCCCGGGATGACACCTGGCTGGCCCGGCTGGTGTGGGTACTGGGGTTGGGGAGAATGCTCCAAGCCTAAGGAGGCCCTGGGGCATCTGGAACGGGGGCTCGGCCACACTCCACCCCACGGCCTCAGTTGTGGTCTGCGGGAACCCAGTCTGGGGTGGAGATGACCAGCCCCACCAAGCAGCCCGGCAGGCCATGGTGCCACAATGGGTGAGGACACTGATGACTGGCTGCTCAGCTCACCATGCTGGTTTCCCCAGTAAACTTCCAGCTTTCTGGGAACAGGAAGCCGCCATTTATCACCAGGAAAACATGGGGGGGGGCCACACAGGCTGTCCCTGAACTGGCAGGAAGGGTGGGGCTGATCTGGATGGGGAGCCATCTCTGTCATCTGCCCTCTGCCCCCACAGTCATGGGGGCGGAGCGGCCAGGCCCAAGATCCTCCCTGCGAGCCACTGTCCCCTGGGCCCGTCACGCACTCAGTGAAGGTTTGCAGGTGCTTTCCTCATGGCACTCAGTCCAAGCTGGAGGGGACAAGAGCATGGGCTCTGGGGCAAGATGCTTCTCATCCTGCCATCAGGAGAGAAATCCACACCCCAGGGCCGCTCTGGGACCCTGTTCTCTCCCCCACAATCCCGAGACCCCTCTCTGTCCTCTTCTGTGTGAGGATGACGGCCCAGGGGAAGGGGCCGAGGAGTGTAGGGCCTTCTGGAAGACAGTGGAAGACAGAGGCAAGGCTGCCCCTTCACCGCCGCAGCCAGTGATGGGGCGGGAAACGGCACAGGCAGGGCTGCTACGTCTGGGTTCCAAGCCCAGGCTGTGTGACTCCTTTGAACTCAGGTCCCTCCTCCGACCACCCCTCCAGGGCATTTCTAGAATGGCTCCTTTCCAGGGATCGAGAGGGTGCTCTGGGGCTTCTCTGGCCCTTGGAGACATGTCCAGGCCTGTCTGAGGATCCCCTTTCTCTCAGAGGGCCCAGCCAGAGGGCTGCCACTAGCAACGGCGAACTCCTCCCTGACTTCACCGCTCACACTCAAGGCCTGTCCCTCCTTCTCAACCATTCTGGTCCTCAGCCTCCATTCTGGCCGACTCGGGCCAGGCCTCCTCGTGTCCCTAATTACTAAACCAGCCCCGGTGCCCCACTCCTGCCCAACTGGGCTTTTCACTTTTGTGCTTACTTTCTTCTCTCTTTGTATATCTTATGTTTAAGTAATCTCTACACACAATGTGGGACTCAAACTCACAACACCAAGTTCAAGAGTTGCATGCTCTACCGACTAAGCCAGGAGGGCACCCCCTAAATTGGCCTTTTTTAAACCCTGGAGAATGTTGAGTCCCAGGCTCAAAACCTTGCAAAGCGCTCCCTGCTGCTGGCAGGATAAACCCCTTTAGTGTGGCACTTAGGACCTCTGAGGTCTGGCGTCCACCCTCACGATCCAGCTGCATGGAACCCCTCAAGGGTCCTGGTGAACCACACTCCCATCCCCATCCACATGACGGGTCCCCTTGAGCCAGGAAAGCTGGGCCCTCCCTTCTTCCTTCTCCTCATTCTTTTGCAAAATCCCAGTTCACTATGTGCACGGGTAAGGAAAGAATTCTAGAAGCAAGTTCTAACAGTACTGATAGCGGCGGGGAGGGGTGATCCGAACTTTCTGCCTGATTCTTTTATGCTATCTGAATATCTGGATACTGATTATCTCTATAAAAAAGAAACACTTTTTTTTTTCTTTTTTAAAGAAGGTAAGAAAATGCTGCACACCCTCCACTCAGACACCATCTCCTCTAGGAGCTTTCTTGGCCCTCTGGCCCTGACAAGGCTGGGTCGGGTGCTTTCCCTCACGGCACAAATCATGCTGACCCAGGGCCATCTGTGTCTTTCTCCAGACTCTGAGCCCCTCAAGGGGCCCTCACCACAACTCTGGAAGGCCGCATGAGCACAGAGATGACTGGCCCATTGGTAGACAAGAAAGCTGAGGCTCAGACAAGTGAACCGACCTCTCTGAGTCACACAGCAAGTCTGAGGCTGGGCAGAGGATGCTCCCGAGCTTTTCCACTTGCCCCATGCTGCTTTCAAAATGGGATGTCCACTGGCCTCACCTTGCTCTCTCAAAGGCTGGTAGGCTGCACAGCAGGTTTCCAGTGCAGCTACCCAAGGATGGGAACGGCAGGATCAGGGAGAAAGAGGCAGGGTTGCCCCAAAGGTCAGCCCAGACAGGTCAGCAAGGTCAAAGACCGACTGATCGGGGCAGGCCAGGGCCAGGGAAGTGAGGTCAGCACCCAGGACCCACTCTGCAGGCACCGAGTCAGCTCAGGTCCACAGGAGATCCCTCTGACTGGAGAGTGACGACAGCGAGATCTCACCACCCTGGTCGGGGGGGCTGGAGGGAGACTCTCTGGAGCCCTGAGTCCTAGAATCTCAGAAAGGAGGGCAGTGAGGGGAGACCCAGGTGCCCAGCGGATGACCATGACAGGCAAGACCTCCCCAGGAAGCAGCCTGCTAGGGTCCCTCATGGTGGCTGCCCGACTAGGGCCCAGCTGGCTGCTCTGGGAGCCTGCCTCTCCCCCATGTCTGAGAGAGAGCTCCCTGCAGCCCCCTCCTGAGGGTCCTGGGGGGCCTGTATTGGGCACTGCCCGGGCCCCACGCAGACACGTAGCAATGGCCCCGGGACACGAACCAGGAGCCTAGAACTGCAGCCCAGCAGAGGGCTGGGCCCTCCTGAGGGCCCGAGGAGAGCCCAGCCCCTAGGCTGTGGACTGTGCCAGGAGGCATTTATGAGGGGCCCAAACAGATCCTAAGCCCATGCTGCAGCACAGCATCCCCTCCGACCCTGAGGAGGCCCCCAGGCTCCAGGGGATGAGAAGCTTCTCAAATGGCACCCTGATGGTCCCACCCTAATCTTGCCCTCTTCTGAAGATTTTGGGAGGGATGCTGTGCTGGACAGCAGCAAAGCAGGTGGCGGGGACTGGGGAGGGAGAGGCCAGGGCAACATGGCCCTTGCCTCCCAGCCTCCTCACACTTCCCCCTTCCCTCCTGGCAGCTCCCACCCAAGTTCTCTCTGCTCTTTTCATCAAGGGGGACTTCGTTCATGGCCTGTGCACAGTCTCCGTTCTGTCTGGATCACCCTCTCCTGAGACTCCTACTCACTGTTCAGCCTCACCTTGTTTGTCAACTCCTCCAGGAAGTCTTCCCTGCTCTGCCCTCCTCCAATCCTCTTAACCGGCCGCAAACCTGGGCTCTCAGAATGTTCTCAGTAAATATTTGTTGAATGAAATGAATACACGAACAAATAAAAGCCGCCTTCAAAGCATGTGGTTGTTTCCCCAACCTGGTGGGAAGCTGGTTTCTGCCCAGCCCTGGCCTCCCTCCCGAGAGGCGCGGCGCCGGCTGCGGCTGAGTGCGTGTCGGCGGGCCGGTGTGTGTCCAGGCCGCTCACCTCTTGCTCAGCTCCTTCAGGGCCCCGCTTCGGCACAGGCCCAGGTAATCCCCCAGCAGCTTCAGCTGCTCCCGGCAGCTTCGGACGAGGCGCATCTGCTCCACATGCTCGTACAGCGAGGCGTTCACCAGCTGCAGGTTGATGAGGGGCTGGGCCCGGATCTGCGTCAGGAACCGCAGGGCCTGCCGGCAGATCTGCAGCGCCGCCCGAGGACAGCGGGGACGGGACAGCACAGCCGTCTGGTGAGCGCCTCTGGGACAGGCACGGCCTTACCGACCTGCTCACCGCCCACCCTACTCCAAGGGCACCGTCTCCATTCTACAGATGAGGGAACGGAGGCCCAGGGGTGAAGTGACCTGGCCTAGGTCCACCGCTCATAAAAGTCAACGTGGGAACCCAGTAACCTAAGGCCCAAACCCAGTCCCCCTCCACGGCACCCGCTACAGCCCCTCTCCCCCTGGGCCCACAGACCCTTCCTACTCTTTCCTGTCTTCCTGGCCCCCATTTTCCTGCCTAACGGAAACAGGCACACCCCCAGGGCCGCCTCAGGAACCAGGTGACTGGCTGAGTCAGGCTCCAGCCACAGGAAGCCAGAGATCAGACACAGCTTAATAATGTTTCCCAAGCCCCCCAGCTCTTGCCAGCAGAACCAACCAGGGTCCCCCCGAGGCCCTGTGTGGAGATGAGGCATCAGTTCCGGCCTCTCCCAGCTCACAGGGTGTTGTAGGTCCCTCCCTCAGTCCTGACCCTCACGCCAAAGCCACTTACTGAGCACCTACTAAGTGCCAGACAGTGGGCTGTGGGTCTCAAGCACATCCTTTCCTCATGCTTATGACAAGCTAATGGGGAAGACGTCATCATCCCCATTTTTTTTTTAAGATTTTTTATTTATTTTCATCATCCCCATTTTATAAAGAAACTGAGGCTTCCAGGAGCCCTTCGAAGTGGCTTATCTAATCTACCTGCAGAAAGCGGAGCCCAGGCCTAAACTGAGCGTGGTCTCTGCACACTGGGCAGCCTCACTAAGGAGAAGCCCTCCCTGCCTCAGGGTCCTCCTCACTGTGACAAGGATGGAGGAGCCGAGACGTTCTCCATGATCAGCTACTGTGCGGTGGTTAGGAGTCAGGCTTTCAAGTCAGAACTGAATTTGAATCCTGGCTCTACCACTTCCTAGCAGTGTCACCTTCTAACATTAAACCTCTGTGACTCAGTTTCCTTGTCTGTAAAATGGGGAAAACAAAAGTACCTCCCTTATGGAATTATTTTGAGTAGAGATAAAAAACGTAGCATATCCTCAGGAATGGGAAATGCCTTCTGACTCTGAGTGCCTGTGTGGCCCCGCGGTCCCCTGAAGCATGGGGGACATAACAGAGCCCTCGGGAGATGGTCACACCGGAGGGTTAGGAGCCTCTGGCCTCCTGTCATCCAGCTCCACCACCATCTCTTGCCTCCCCCGCGATGGACAGCTCCTTTCCCCATGTCCCAGAGCCCTGAAGTACCAGCCCCCCCGGCCGGTGGGCAGCCGGGCAGCAAAGACCTGGGGATTCTCCTCCGACAGCTCGTCTCTATCCCTGGCCCAGCCCTTCCCACCACTCAGCTTCAGGTCTTGGGCGAGGCTCAGATGAAATCACACACTGGAATGTGTGCTGAGAGCTGCCAAGCGCCACAGACCGACTGGCAGGAGCTTCCTGCTCCCCCGGGACAGTTTCTGGCCTGTAGGCTTGCCGGAGACAGGCAAGAAAGAAGCCCCAGTCCCGGGATGACATCCTGCCAAGTGCCAGCTAGCCCTTCCCTAAGTGGATCAGCCAGAGGCAACAGTGAACAAGGAGGCCCCTAACCCATGAGCCAGCCACTTTCTATTTCGAATGTTCCTGTCTTTTCCCAGGCCAGGGATCTTTGAGAGTGAGAGCTGGATATTTCCTGATGTCAGATATGCCAAGAAAAGTACTGTCATTTTCTAGCTGGGAAAAGGAAGTGGCACAAGAATTACAGCAATGATTAAGAAGATGGCTTAACAAGGGTCCGGATGTTGTAAATAGTGAGTGTGTTTAATGGCCAAGGAATTATTTGCATTTGTGGTGGTTCTGAGGTTTAATATTCTACATGTAGTCAGTGAAATACTTTCCACTTGGGGCAAGAGTGAGGGACAGTGAAGCTAATGTCCTGGCGTTCCGGTCCCTAGCAAAGTGGAGGCTGGGGTCACACAGAATCTGAGAGTCACACACGTTCCCTGGGCTCTGATGACACATCCGCGGCCAGCAGGCCTGGGTCCTGAGAGAAGTAGGCAACTTCTCCTTTGTGCTTCTGTGTCTGTCTTTAAGCAGCAATCTGTGCCTCTGGGGTAAAGCCAAGTTTGTACTCCTTGAGGCAGGGCCTGACCAAGTGAATCAGGGGCTGAAGGTGTGACAGGCCTCAGGAGAAAGGAAGGGCACTAACACAGGGCCCTAAGACACGGCAGGGCCATCCCTGTTAGTCCTTACACAACCCGGAGGCACACACTTATGAATCCCTCTTTACAGACGAGGAAACTGAAGTCAAATAATTGGCTAATGGTAGCACAGCTAGGTCAGCGGGTAAGCTCAGGTGGAGAAGGGGAATGTGAAAGATCCTGGAAGACATCTAATTCAAAAGCATTTGAACATAGGGACCTAAGACTAAGTGATACTCACTGAACAAAGCAGGTTATAAAGCAGTACAAGTCCAGGATGATCCCAACTTTCAAAACGTATGTAAACAGATCCACAGAGAAGGCTGACACTCGGGGGTTTGGGGGGAGCATAGCTGGTTGGCCAGCCAGCCACCCACCCACCCATTTACATCCATCTACCCACCCACCCACCCATCATCTACCTATCCACATCCATCCACCCACCCACCACCCATCCACCCACAACGGTCCATCTACACATCTAGTCTATCCTAATTATCCTTCCTTATCTCTATCTATCTGTCTGGTTGTTGGTGCCTTACATAGTTTAGTCCGCGGCCAATGGGGAGCTGCAAAGAACCACCCTCAGACCTCCAGCTGAGGACCAAGGTGGCACTGACAGAGCTCTGCCCAGGGGCTAGAGACCAGCACCACGTTTTTCCCTTGGTTGGTCCCCTCCACCCCCATCATGGGGCCTGAACCAGTGACCTGGGCTTCCCTGGAGCCAAAGTCCTCCACACAGATGAAGAGCAGCAGCGAGAAGAGCGACCATTCCTCTGCCACTCAGCAGCCTGTGTGGCCATGAAAGGCCGGGCTCCAGGCTTACCGGGCGCTTGGTGAGGTCCCAGTTGTGGATGATCCTGGCCGGAATCACCGAGGCATCGTCTTGGTGGCAGATGTCACAGTAATAGAGGCCAGAGAAGGCACAAAGCTTGGGTCGTACGAATGAGAAGCCAATCTGTCGGGAGCAGCCTGGGGAGAAGGACGGCGGGAGAGTGAGCAGTGGGGCGGTGCGAGTTTGCGATTAGGGCAGGGGTTACTAAGCCGAAGGACCTGCTCTTTAAGGAAGGGACAGATCACAAAGGATACAGAGATAAAGGCACCCTCACTCATACGCATACTGCTCAGACACAACCCCATTCTTGAGCGATAAAAACAGAACCCTGTTAACAATTGTCATCGCCATTTTATAGCTCAAGAAATCAGTGCAGAGAGAGGCGAGGAGACCAGCCCCATCACGGGCCGATGACGTGGCAGAGCTGGCCACTGGACTGGGGTTGGGCTGCCACTAGCACCCACATCCTCTTTTGCCTAGCCGCCTGTGTTTAACGTTCCCACTGCTTGCTCACGCAGGCCAACCTCCTGTAGGTCTGCCCCCTCCACTGGGGCCCAGAAATGGAAGCGACCGAGTCTGGGCCTCAGTGAGCAGGGTAGGAGCTGGGGACCTGAGGCTGGCCACAGGGAGGGGGTGGGGAAGCCAGCTGGAGGTGGGGGCAGTCTGGACACTGCCTAGTGCAGGCTCGGAGTCAGAGATGCCCGATACCTCGGGACAGTGGGGCAGGGCCCAGCTTTAGCCGCTTGGCTGGAGGTCCCTCCGAGGTGGTGGGCAGCGAGAAGCTGGGTGGGGTATGCTCAGGGCAGAGCAAAAGCCTGGCTCTAATCCCGAGCACACATGGCTGCCTCCCACGGGCATGGGAAAAGGTCCCTTTGGACTTGGGACCAGAAGGGTCGGCTCGTCTGCTTCCTAGCTGCCTCATTCTAACCTTCACTGAATTTTTGCAAGGTTCCATTGTGGTCTCTGTAAAATTCAGCTGCTACATGCTCTTCTGTGGGGTGATTACAGAGTTTAAGCGAGAGGAGATTCTGAAAGCACCCTGTATACCATGAACACAGCCGAACGTCAGCAGTGGGTACGAGCCTGGCCACAGAGCCGTGCTTGCGGCAGGAAGGAAGCCCAAGCTCCCCGGGGGCTGGCAGGCGACAGGCACAGCGAGAGGTGCCCCTTGCCAGCACTAACGCCCACTGGGGGACCCTCCTCATGGGCTTTGGGGGCCTGGCCTCCTCCCTGAGCCCAACACCCACAGGCTGAAGGTGCAAAGTGTGAGGGTTGGGGGCTGGCGGAGGGAAGGGGTGAGCAGGGACCTGAACATGTTTTCTGCAGGAAGAAAACCGCAGACCACTTCCTTCCAGATGCCCAAAGCAGACTTTTCCTTCTAGTCCCACAGGCTCCAGCCGACAGGACGGCCCTCAAGCCACTTGGAGCCAGGTGTCCTGCTGTGGCGCTCTGCAGCAGGGTGAAATTCTCTCACAGCTGGCCTGGAGCACCCGTGGGGATGGAAACGGGTGTCTGGATCGGGGAGAAGAGCTGAAAATGGAATGTGAGCCGTGGACTATCTCACGCCTTGAAAAGCAAGGCAGTGGAGAGGGCCTATGGGGACTTGAGCGGAGCAAGGTTCTAGGACTGTCGAGGTCCTCATCTGACTCCACCTCGGGATAGGTACTGTGAGGAATAAATGAAATAATCCAAATAAAGCAACTGGCCCAGTGCCCCCCGCAGGAGAATCAGATCTGAGGACGGTAATGATATAGTAGGTGGACGGACTTGGAATAATACCCGTGATACATTCTTAAGTAGAAAAAAAAACAAGTTGTAGGACAATATAGATAGCTGAGCTGTTTCAAACCGGCCACAAGCCACAGGTACCCGTTTCAATTTAAATACCTTTACGTTAAACTGAAAATTCAGTTCCTTTAGCCACATTAGCTGCACATGGAGTACTCGGGAGCCACATGTGGCTTGACAGCAGAGATCTAGAACGTTTTCATCATCAGAGAAAGTTGCACTGCACAGCCCTGGGATGTACGAGCCCACTTTTGTAACGGAAGAAGACTGTGTGCACTTGCGAAAGCATGCAGGAATCTTTGGAAGGGCACCATGCCCCACTCCAAAAGGATCAAACGATATGGTAATGTGATAACGAAGGGGGTGGAGAACAGAGCTCCCCCGATGGAACTCCCTGAGCAGAAAGCAGCACTGTGCAGAGCTGCCGCCCACAGGTGCCGACCCCCGGTAGCGGCGCCGGCCTCCGTGGGCACTGGGGAGAAGCAGGGGCTACGCGCTGCCACATCCCAGGAGAACCTGCGTCAGGAAACTCCCACCCGAGGCAGCGGGAGGCGGGTGCATGGTGGGGGGAGGGGGACAGCGAATGGGCACCTGCACAGAAGCAGCCCTGGGAGTCCAGGCCTTTCTCCGTGGGGATGGCCACGAGGTACTGCAGGAGGAAGCCATTTTCCCGCGTGGCGAACTTCAGCACCTCCTGACAGTTTTCGTCCAGACTCCCACCCAGGGTCACGGCCTCCTCGGCTGTCTCCAGGTAGGACGCCAGGACCTTGCGTACCAGATCCCTCCACAGGGCGGCCTCCTCAGCGCTCCCGGCCTGCAGCTTCAGGACGGCCTTGGCCGTGATGATTTTGAAGAAGGAGGGGCCCCCAAGGCTCGTGTCTGGCAGGATGTCTCGGATGGTCTCAATTCCATGGCTGTCACTTAACATCTTCTCGTTGTTTCTCACTCGGAAGCATTTCAGAGACTCCAAGGAGAGGGAAAAAATATAGGGCATCCAGGTCCTGTCTGTGTACAGGTATAGAAGGGATTCTTTGATAGCGTCTGGCTCGGGATCTTGGGCAGAGGACCAACAGAATTGTGTGGCCTGGAGGGTTTCAGGCTCAGGGAGCAGGTCTGGGTGGGAGGGGAGGCCGCCCTGGGGGGCATCTGGGGGGTCCTCAGGTGGCTCGGGGTACTGGATATTGACCCACTCATCCTCTTGCTGCGGCCGGCACTTCTGCAGGGCCTCCCGCACGCGGTCCAGCCAGTCCTCAGCCTCATCCTGGGAGGATGCCCGCAGGGCCAGCTTCCTGCCGGAGAAGACCAGCTCGAATCGGCCATCGCTGTGCGCCGGCCCCACAGACTCGCAGCGCAGCAGCGAGCATGTCTCCACGCAGGCGCGCTCCTCAGTGTTCAGGTAGAGGCGGAACTCCAGGGGGGAGAGCTCGCAGAAGAGCTCCTTCCAAATGCCCATGGCCCCCCGCCGCTCCACGGTGCCCAGCTTCATGAGACCCCGGAACGGGTTGGACAGTCCTGGGGGCAGAAAGAAGCGCTTTAGACTGCGGGCCATTCCCCCCCTGCCCCACCGTCCTCACCCTCTGCTGCTGACCTTGTTCCTGAATTTTACCGAGACAAAAAAAGGACTCAAAAGATTACCTCCACAGACCCCTCACTCTGGCACTGGTACCCACAGTCTGACCTGCCCCTTGTCACAAAGGACGAACTGACGGCTCAGCCTGAGGCCAACCCCTCTGTGCTGGGGACACTCCTCCCCCCCTCCCCTGCCTACTCAAGGACAAGGACATTTCTCCAACAATCCTCTCTCCCTCTCCCGTGTCACTGCTTTCTCCCTTCCCTTCCGGATCATTCCCTCCAGCACACAAACATGCTGCTATTTCTGCCATCTTTAAAAATAGCTCTCTTGATGGCACTCACATCTCTAATTACCACCCTGTTCCTCCGTCCCCCTTTACAGAAAACCCCCTGAGGAGGTATCAAAACTGTCTCTAGTTCCCTTGCTCTCGTTCCATCTTGAATCTGCTCCAGTCAGGCGTCTGACCCCTCCTTCCACTGAAATTGCACTTGGAAAGCCCCATGCCCTCCTTGTTACCAACTCCAAAGGCTAATCGTTGGTCCCCAACTGGCCTGACCCATCAGCATCACTGGAGACAGCTGAGCCCCCTTTCTTTCCCTTGGCTGCTGAGGTGCCACTCTGGGTCTTTCTCAGCCCTAATAGGCCATTCTTCTGTTCCCTGAGCTCGTTCCTCCTTCTCTTCCTGACATCTCAACACGGGAGCACCCCAGAGCTCACTTCTGGGTCCTCTCCTCCATCAACACCCTCCTCCTACCTTGTCTTGCCCACTCGCAGGGCTTTATGCCAACAAGGCCCCCCCCGCCTTTTTTTTTTTTAAGATTTTATTTATTTATTTGACAGACAGAGAACACAAGTAGGCAGAGAGGCAGGCAGACAGAGAGGAGGAAGCAGGCTCCCTGCTGAGCAGAGAGCCCGATACGGGACTCGATCCCAGGACCCTGAGATCATGACTTGAGCTGAAGGCAGAGGCTTTAACCCACTGAGCCAACCACGTGTCCCTAGGCCCGGTTTTTATCTCCAACCTGAACCGTGCCCTTGAACCTCAGATTCAGATCTCTACCTGCTCTGTGTACATCTATTATCTAATAAGCACCTCAAAGCTGAATGCCTGAAAATGAATTCCTGACCCTCCCACTGCAGACCGGCTTCTCTCCCAACATTCCTCATCTCATAAATGGCACACTATCCTTCCAGCTGTTTGGGCTAAAAACCTTGGAGTTGTCCTTGATTTCCTTTCTTCCACATCACACATGCAGTCCGTCTGCACACCTTGCTGGCGTATCTGGAACACCCCACTCCTCACCACCTCCACCGCTACCACACGGGCTCAGTCGGCCGTCACCCCCGGCCTGGAGGATGGCGACAGCCACCTGGCTGGTCTCTCTCCCTGAGGTCCTTCAACATATGAGTCAGGATGACTCCCCATTTAAAGGGAGTCAGATCATGTCCCTCTGCCCCAAATCCCGCACTGGCTGCCATCTCCCTCAGAACAAAAGCTAAGGCCCCTCCTGGGGCCTGTGAGGCCTTCCGTCACTCTGCCCTCATCTCTAACCACCCTCTTCCCAACTCCTCGGTTTCCCAGGCATGTGCCCAAGGCAGGGGCTTTGCATTTGTTCTCCTGCTTGAGACACAAAAGTTGCCCTGGGCCTCCCTCCCTCCCTCCCTTCCCATCTCCTCAACGCTCATCTTATGTGTGAGGGCTTCCCTGGCCATGCCGCATGAAACAGTACACTCCCCACCTTGGTGCTCCCCAATTTACTCTCCTCCATAACAATGACTGTCACTGGCCCATACCATGCATTTATTTGTACATTCTCTTATTTCCTGCCTCGTGTACTAGGATATAAGTCTGTGAAGACAGAGACTTTGTTTTGCTTCCTGCTGTGTCCCCAGCACCTAGAACAGGCTGGCACGTCACAGAAAACCATCTGCTAAATGAGTGGGTGCCCAACCAGCACACCCTGCTCAGTGCTCCCTGTTTCACAGGGGTCTGCTGCCAAATGGGGGTCCACAGGACACGCAGTTCTCTCTCGCCCAGCCTGGACTAGCCTTGGAGATTTCAAACACCTGTACAGGGTCTTCCTACCCTTTGGGGAACCTGACGGCCTGGGCATGAAGCACACCTGCTTTGGCACAGTTACAGTCACAACGTGGACTTTAAGAAAAACCTAAATGAAGAGAGTATAGAGACCGGAGCTCTACCTATACTCCCCAAGCTAGGAACCTGGCCAGAACTGTCTGCTGGCTCACTGCAGACAGAGCGAGAAAGAGACGGACTCCTGGGCACACTTTTTTCTTTGTTTATGGGGGTTGTAGACAAACTGTGGTTATAGTTATTGACCACTGTCTAGAATCTCACAGGGCATGGGAATCGAGATGGCCTCACTGTCAATGGCACAGAGAGGACACTAACCAGAGAGCAGAGCTGATATACCCTACGGGAGCTGTTAAACCAGCCACCTAAGATAAAGGCCTTGGGAAGGGACATCGAAATGCCTTCGAGGGGCAGGGTTTGCTCCGGGCTCCAGGCAGAACCCAGGGTTTCGTATAATCATACGACTTCCAGGAAAAAGCTGCCATATTTCACTACATGAAACAGGTTTTTGAGCATTACCTTGTTGAGATTTTACAAGAAAATATAGTACTTTTCCTGAAATGCTTTCCTGAATTATTCCGCAAGGGTGCTCCTTATGACATCTGGGGAAGAGGCGCTGCCTGTGAGAAGACTCCCCCAGAGGCCGGCGGCGCCACTCTCTGGAAGGCGCTGCCCTGCGCGGCCAGGTCACTGGGAGCCCGAGGCCACCTACCCATCTGCCGGCGGTGCACCACCCGGAAGTTCTTATGCTCCTGCGCCGCGGCTGTCCTGCTCTTCCTGCTTCCTGGGGAAGGCGCACATGCTTTGTCTAAGGCTCCCGTGGAGAAGCTTTTTCTTGGTCCTTGAGAAAAATGCCGGAGGAGACTGGGACTCGACTCTGGCGTCCCTCCAGAAGAAGCCACGGAGCGTTCTGAGGGGCTCTCTGGGGGTGGCTCCTGGGGAGGCCGGTAGAAGTCATCCTCAGAGATCCAGCTCTTGCTTTTCTAGTGGGAAAGGAGTGAAGACAGGTTTGTTTCTTTCTTTTTTCAAGATTTATTATTTTTTTAAGATTTTATTTATTTGAGAGAGCGAGAGAGAGAGAGATCATGAGCAGGCAGGGAAGGGCAGAGGGAGAGGGAGAGGCAGACGCAGACTCCCAGCTGAGCAGGGAGCCCGATGGGGGACTCGATCCCAGAACCCTGGGATCCTGAGCCGAAGCAGACCCTTAACCGACTGAGCCACCTGGGCACTCCAGAGGTTGTTTTTGAAGCTTTTTAGGAACATCTTTATTGAGACACAATTCACCTATCATTAAATTAACCCATTTCAAGTGTCCAGTTTAACGGTTTCAATGTGTTCACAGAGTTGTGCAACCACCACCACAATCTAAATTTAGAACGTTTTCATTCTTCCAGAAAGAAAGCCCATGCCCATGAGCGGTCACTCCTCATTTCCCCTCAACTGCTCCGGTTCTAGGCAAGCAACAATCTACTTTCTGTTTCCAAAGATTCGTCCATTCTGGACATTTCGTATAAATGGAATCTTCTAACACATGATCTTTGTGTCGGCCTTCTTCCCCTTAGCACCGTGTTTTCAGGGTCTGTCCTCGTTACAGCAGCTGTGAGGACTTTATTTCTCTTTCTGACTAAATGGTATCCCAAGGTACAGATGTACCACAGTGTTTGCTCACAGGCCGATGGGATCAGGGTTGTTTCCCCTTCTGGCAATTATGAATAATGCTGCTGTGAACACTCATGTCCAAGATTTTGTGTGGATGTTTGTTTTCCATTTCCTTGGGCACATACCCGTGAGAGGAATGGATGGGTCATATGGTAATTAAGTGTAACTTTCTGAGGAATTTCCAAACTATTTTCCATAGTGGCTGCACCATTTTACATCCCCACCGGCCATGTAGAGGATTGCAATTTCTCCACATCCTCTCCACCATTTTTTGCTGTCTGTCTCTTTGCTTATGGCCATCCCAATGGGTGTGAAGTACCATCTTGCGGTTTGGGTTTGCAATCTCCCCAGTATCTAATGACACAGCAACCTTTCTTGTGCCTCGTGGACATTGGTATATCTTCTTTGGAGAAATGTCTATTCAAATCCATTGCCCATTCTTAAGTTGGTTTGGCTTTTTGTTTCTGTGTCATAGACAGAATTGTGTTCCCAACCAAGATATGTTAAAACCCTAGCCCCCAGTGTCTCAGAATGTGACCTTCTTTGGAAGTAGGGTTGTTGTAGATATAATTAGTTAAGAAGAGGTCATGCTAGGGGAAGGTGAGCCCTTCATTCAGTGTTATTGGTGTTCTTATAAGAGAAGAAAAGACACACACAGACACACAGAAGAGAATTCCAAGTGAAGACAGAGACACAGAGTGAGAAAGTCACGTGATGACAGAGGCAGAGCTGGGAGTATTGGGTCTTTGAGCCAAGGAACAACAGGGATTGCTGGCAACCCCGAGCTGAGAGAAGGGTGAAGAACAGATTCTTTCTCAGGACTTCCAGACAGTTCCTGCCATCTGGATTTTGGACTGCAAGCCTCCAGAACTATCAGAGAATGCATTTCTCTTCTTTTGAGCTATCCAATTTATGGTACTTCATTACAGAGGCCTTAGGACACAAACACAAGTTGTAAGGGTTCTTTATATACTTAGGATATTTGGGATACTAAGCCCACACCATATACATGGTTTGCAAATAATTTTTCCAATTCTGGGGGCTGTCTTTTCACTTTCTTGCTCGTGTCTTTTGAGGCACAAAATTTTAAAATTGTGCTTAAGTCCAATGTATCTATTTTTTCTTTTGTCTCTGCCTTTGGTGTTATATGTAAGACACCACTGTCTAAGTCAAGATTACAAAGATTTGGTCCTATGTTTTCTGCTAAAAGCTTTACGGTTTAGCTCTTACATTTAGGTCTATAATCTATTTTGAATTAATTTTTGCATATGGTATGAGGAAGGGGTCCCCCTTTATTCTTTTGCATGTGGATATCCTGTTATCCCAGCACCAATTGCTGAAGAGCTGTAGAGTTTTTCCACCCTGCTTATAGGGTTTGAGATGAGGGAGACATGGGTAAGCAGGACCCAAGGGCCTCACTGGCACCTCTGCTGGGGCTCCTCACTTCTGAGGAGGCCCCTGAAGCCCCAGGCAGCCAGGCCCTGCCCCTTCCCTTCTGTTGCTGAGTCTGAAGTTGCTTGCCAGCTGGGAGAAGTGGGGTGGGTCTGGGGTCAGGGGATTGTGGGAATGGATTTCAGCTTTTTCTTCTTCACTATTCAAGCACTCCCTGCCTTTTTGTGCCTAAGCATGGACGAGCAGAGGCAAGAAGAAAGCTGGTTGGACTGCCCTAAGTGGCTGTCTATACAGAGGAAATGACTCACACAAGGGGTGGGCCCAGTCCAGCTGTTTTGTTAAGTGTCACCAACCTCACCCTGAAGTTGCTATTTCCAACCCCTAAATCAGACTGCCCTCCCTGCTCTCACAGACAAGGAAGGGGAGCAGGGTTGGGACTGCCCTAGAAGAATCAGTTTGGCTGGTTTAATCTATTCTGATGCTAGATGTCTCCTTAAGCCAAGAGTAGAGAGCTCTGAGTCAGGAGTGTGAGGGCCTCACAATGCTGGGCTTCCAGGGCTTCCTCCAAAAACCCTCCAAATTAGCAGGTGTTTCCTTCTGCCAGTGCCAGGACAATGTGTCAATCTGGGTGGCTACTTGAGTGCCACCTGCAACACAGGATTCTGAGCAAAGCCTGCCTAGGCCACAGAGACCCAGGGGAGCTCCCTTAGGAAAATGGACAGGAGGAGCCTCACAGAGCCGGGGGTACCTACCTGGGAAGTCTTGTGGCCTCCCATCCCCAGCTAATGGCTCCAGTGGGAAAGAGCACTATTCCTTAAGTCTCAGCCCAGAGGTCATCCATCACCTCCTCCTGGACGCTTTTCTTATCATTCCCCAGTCTACACTCCTCCCACATCCCAGCTGGCTCAGGGACCCCTCTGGGCTCCCATGGCATTCTTTGCTTACCCCTAGCCCTAGTACCTATGAAGCTGTTTGCAATTTTTCATCCCCCCCACAACTTTTTTTTTTAAGATTTTTATTGATTTATTTATCAGAGAGAGAGAGAGGGACAGCAAGAGAGGGAACACAAGCAAGGTGAGTGGGAGAGGAAGAAGCAGGCTCTCCGCTGAGCAGGGAGCCTGATGTGGGGCTTGATCCCAGGACCCTGGGATCATGACCTGAGCCAAAGGCAGACACTTAACGACTGAGCCACCCAGGTACCCTGTCTTTCATTTTTCTTAATGCCTGGCACAGAGTTATAACAGATGAGGGAATAAATCTTGACTATCCCAATGTCTTTAGCATGAAATAAGAAGGGTGGGGTGAAGGGATGAGAAGGAAGGAGACAAATGTGAATTGTGAGGTGATGATCATTGGTGAGGGCTTCTCTTTCCGAAGATGCGAGGGAGACTGCTAGGAAATGTTCAGACACGGGCCAGTGGCCATAGGTCAGTCACCAGGAAATGATACTCGAGGGAAAATCTTTTGTTCTCTTAGGCAACAGAGAAAAAACAGTGGGAACATTGGGTCCTTGGAGCTTTTGTGCACAGGCCTGGAAGGAGCTCTCTGCAGCTGTGCCCCAGCCCAGCCTCCCTCCCCCGCACCACACCATGAGGTGGGGAGGGCAGAGCACATCACTGTTGCCCTTCTCCCTCCCCTTTCCTACCACCTTCCTACCTTCTGCTCATCTAAGGCCCCACATCTGGCCAGTTCCGTCCCTGTAACAGTGAGGGAAACCACCATCAAGCAAGGGTCTGAGCCAGAGCAGCACCTGCCACTAGGGACCCAAGACAGAGGAATGTCACTTGAGCTACTAAAGGTACAGTAGGCCAAAAACAACAGCTAAGTCTCAGAGGGGAGACTCTGGCTGAGGAGAGAGATACTAGGCGTCTGGACTGTTTTCAGAAAAAGTGCTTTTTAGCCAGTTTAGCCTCGTTACGTCACGCGAAGAGATTTCGCCTGCACTCCTGTGTGGGGGAGGGGACCACATGGCACAGGCAGTGATGAGGGGACCACATGAGGGTAGTGATCAGGATGAAGTTTTAGAATTCAGACTGTCCTCTGGAATGAAACTGAGAAATCAATTCACAACCCCCCAGATTCCACAAATAAAAGTTCCCTTAACTCCCCCACTCCCTGCTCCTTTCCTTCCCAGCTCTTGTCACCAGCATAGTCATGATGTGGGTAGTGACTTGTCTAATCCAGTGTCTGTCTGCAGGGAGCAGGGCCCGTGCCCATCCTGTTACTTCACTGCACCAAGCATGGTGCTTGGCCCAGAGCAGGGCCTTATTTTGAGTGAATTGAAAATAATGGTCTTGGGGCACCTGGGTGGCTCAGTGAGTTAAGTAAGCCTCTGCCTTTGGCTCAGGTCATGATCTCAGGGTCCTGGGATGGAGCCCCACATCAGGCTGTCTGCTCAGCAGGGAGCCTGCTTCCTCCTCTCTACCTGCCTCTCTGCCTACTTGTGATCTCTCCCTCTGTCAAAAAAAAAAAAAAAAAAAGAGAAAGAAAATAATGGTCTTTCTTTAATGAAAGACTGAGTGGCTCTCATGGTGATACAACTTGTTAGTGACTACCCTCTACTCCCCACACTGTCCACCCCACACTGCCCAAGTGTCAAATAAATAGCAGTGACTCAGTGTCTGACGCACAGAAAGATGAGAACAACAGAGGTGACACACGGGGCAGGGCACTACCCTGTCCGAGAGCTGGGGGTGCACTGGACCAGTGTGAGCCCAGAGGCTGTCTACTGAGTGCACGGATGAGTGGGTCCTGTGGCCCTCAGCAACCTGACTCCCCTGAGGCCTGCAGTGAGGTGGAGCCTGCCCTGGTCAGACCAACTAGCCCACCTGGTGCACTCGATGGTGTACTTCTCAGTGTAAACTCACAAGTTAGCATCTCCAGAGTCTCTGAGAGTTCTTGAACTATTAATTATGCCTATACTCTCCCAGGT